GGGCTCACTCACCTTTACAACCTTTGACACCCGGCTGTCACCTCGGCTGAAACACCTCTCCTTCAGAAAACTGCAGATGATGTTAATGGCTTTTCTGACCTCCGTCCGGAACTGTGTGTCCGGCAGGAGTCGGTCTTCGATGAACTTGTCCAGATCCCCGGCCCAGAGATTTTGGAGCTCCATCGTGACGCTCGTGTGGGGACAGGAACGTTTCTCTCTCCTGCTGCCCAAGGCTGAGTTTCCTTTGGTTTCGTTTCCTGGGAAGGGAGGAGCTTCCTATCAAACCAAAGAGTCCCGGCAGCCGGAAGGGCCTTGCCTTTCTTCGGACTGTACTGTGAAAACATGTTTGTGTTTTTTTTTAACTCCCATTAGTGCCTCCCCCAAGAGAAATCGGGATGCAAAACCAATTTTTGGTTTCCTTCTTCCTAGTTTTGTGGTGTTGGGGGGTTTTTTAAATCCTCCCCTGAGGATACTTTTTCTGTTGCTTTTCAGAGAGAGTGGAAGGAAGAGAGAGAAAGACAGAGGACGATCGAGGGGAGAGAGACGCATGGACTGGTCGCCTCCCGCACGGGCCTGACCAGGCCAGGGATCCGGCCTGCGACTGAGGCGCGTGCCCTCGGCCGGAACCGAGCCGGGACCCTTCCTAGTCTTTGTTTTGTTATTGTCGTTGCTGACAAAACTGGTTTATAGCCTCCTATGATCTTTACAATAGTATGTGCATATCGCCAAAAAAGAAAGGAAGGCAGGGAACTCAGGAAGCATAAAACTCCATTCATAACCCCAAACCTCAAAGACGACCCCTATGAACATGTGGGTGTAGATCTTTTCAGATGCTGTCCGAGGTTCACGCACACACGAAAATTCACAGTTCTCTTTCGTTTTTCTTTTTTAAATGACATCATGCTATACTTTTTCCCTTCGGTTCATAGACTTTATTTCTTACAGCAGCTTTAGGCTGACAGAAAAATGGAACAGGACGTACAGAGTTCCCCTATGTCACCTCTCCTTCCGCCCGTAATTTCTACTATTTTTAACATTGGTGCACGTGTCACTAGGGATGGATTGAGACTGATGCATTATCGTGAACTAAATAACGTTCACAGTTCCCAGGAGGGTTCACTCGGCGCTGGATGCTCCGGGGGTCTGAAAAATGCAGAATGTCATGCACCCACCATTTATGAAATCTTGTAGAATAGTTGCCCCTTGGTCCACTCATTTGTTCCTCTTGGTTTAGACCTTCCTACTTTCCTGATCCATGCATTTAATGCCAAAATATTCCCGCCCCAGCAGGGTGGCTCAGTTGCTTGGAGCATCAGAAGGTTGCCAGTTTGATTCCGGTCAGTGGACACACCCAGGTTGCCGTTCGATCCCCGGTCGAGATGCGTGGGGTAGGAACCGATCAATGTTTCTCTCTCACATCCATGTTTCTCTCTCTCTCAAATCAACAAACATCACCTCAGGTGAGGATTTAAAAAAATCCCTCCAAGCACTACTTCCATTGCATCCCTCAGCTTCAATTGGTTGTTTTTTCACTGTCAGCTCGTGCAAAACATTTTAAAATCTCTCTTGAGAATTCTTTGACCCATGTGTTAGTTAAAAGCATGCTATTTGGTCTCCAAATATTTTGGAATTTTCCAGATAGCTTCTTTTTATTGACACATTAATTCCGTCGTGGTGGAGGGCATACTTTGACGATGTGCATCCTTTTGAATGTGCGAAGGTGTGTTTTCTGGCCCAAACGCGGTCTGTCTTGGGGAATGTTCCAGGGGAGCTGAGAAGATGTGAATGCCGTTGCTGTGGGGTGGAGTAGGGTCTAGATGCCCGTTAGCTATCTTTCTAATCAGCTTTCTCATAACCAGCTCATCAACTGTCACCTCCCATTCCTGTATACAATGCTGACTTCTGCTTAAAGCAAAATGTAACCGTGAAGGGGGCAGGTGTCCATCTCTGGAACGCTCGCTTTGCCCACCAGTTGGATTTTGTGTGTCAAGGCGTCCGTTTGCTCCCAAATGCCTTTATGGCAATTGTACTTGTTAACGAAATGCATGCTTTTGACAAAATACACATATCAGCAGATTCCCTCCTCTGGGCTTTGGGCTATTCCTCTGTCAGGCGAGCGAGCTGATGGAACCAGGCCCTGGATCAACTCCGTCATCTCTTTCGGCCTTGATGTCATCTGATTGCACAGCCGTTCGGGACTCTTCCCCCGAGGCTAGGGTAGTGGGGAGAAGCTGAGGATGCCGCCCGCCTGGGGGGTGCCCTTCTAAGAGGGTGTGGGGTCAGACACGTCGCCTTGAGCCTGCCCGCCCAAGATGAAACCCTCCGGGAAGCAAACTCCACGTGGGCGGAGACCGCACCTTCCTTGTTCACCCGCCGTATCCCCAGTGCCTGCGACATAGTAGATGCTCAATGAACACTGACTCTCACGTATCCTGGCGGGGAGGAGAACCCCCAGAAACCAGAAAGGAAGAGCGCAGGCTGCTGGTTTTCCTGGACATTCCTACTTTATTTTTGGCTACATCATCACAAAGAAAGGCGGCGGACGGTTCTGGGGTTCTGCATGCACCAGAGGGCAGGGGTCGTGTGTGTATTCTAGGTGGGCCGGGGGGGGGTTACGTTTGTGGGGAGAGCGGAGAGAGCGAGCTTGCCACATGCTGATTCCAGCGCCAGCTCCGGCATCGGGCGTGGGTGACGCAGCCAGCATGCTTTCTCCTAAGGGCAAACCGTGGGACAGAGGCGG